GATATATTTTGTGTGCCTCTAAACTCTTTAACCCTGTTGTGACATATTTGAGTAATCCGAATATCACCATAAATTTCCTTTCTGTTCATTCATTTCATAGCGGGTTGAAGGTGTCCTTCAAAGCAAGTCTGGTGGTGAAGAAGTTCTGCAGGAGTATAAAGCAACAGAAACCCTAAGTGATGCCACAAGAAGGCAGATGGTAAACATACTGGTGGCTCACATGACTGATGAACATGGGTAGGTGTGTTTTTACACTTTTTAATCTCTGTAAAAATGGACTATTTGTCTCTAATGTGAAATCTGCTGTTAGGCACCTTCCTCCTAAAGCGATCAGAGAGCAGTATGCCCTCGGAATAGTGACGCTCTTCCCTTCCCTCAAAGATCCATACACCAAAAAAGGCTATGTAATTTTCTTTACCAATTGTGATGTCTCATTTTGTCCCAAAACTGTGTTTTTTTCATAAAAATTGTGATTGTTTTTCTTTATTCCCTTTTTTAGGAGCACTTTTATGATGCAGCAAGCAGCACAGGATACATTTCATGGCGTCTCAAAACAATTCAAAGGAAGGCTAGAAGAGGATCTCCTGTGGCACCAAGTAGCTCCAAAGAGATTTTAAGTGGAGGCCCAAATAGTCAGAGAAATGTGATCGTCGAAAGACAGCTAAATGGTGATGCCTGCCAGGAAGCCATGTCGTTGCTTAACCACACCACAGACAGGTCCCTGATCTTTCAGAAGATGAGAGAGACTTTTGAACACCGTCAGAAACTTATTAGAGATGCCAGTGGAAGAACAGACATTCTGACAATGTTTCCCAGATTTCTGGACACAAAAGGATTAGTAAGTCTTCAAATGAGTTAAAATCTTTAAATACAAGGTTATATCCAGTGTTGATAGTTGGATTTCTGCTTTTTAATATAGATTGATCAAGACTTCAGTCTTCTATTTAATGAAGAAACCTCCTCCAGACTGCTGCAGAAGTGGGATGTGTTCTTCAAGCAAAATGTCATCAAAGAGGCCAAGCGTCTCACTTCAACACCTGAGTTGAGAAGTTTGGTGCAGTCAGCGGAAGTCCCTGGAGATGACCAGGATGCGGCATCTAGTAAGTACCAAAATATATCTGAACATGGTTGACTGTTCAGAGTATTCAACACTGGCTCTATGTTGTCAAAGTTCTGACACTAAATTATATGAATCTGTCATCAGCCTATGACCAAGAAATGGCCTCCTTGTTACTGCTCCTACATCTCCTTCCACCACCACCTGGAGGACAGAAGTCTCCAAGAATCAGTGCATGGGGTGCAATTGAGAGACTCGTTGTCTTTCACAAGGTAATTAAATAAAAAAATGTACAGTACTTTGTCACTTTGCTTTTATAGACATGTATAAATACTGGTGGTAACTGCGCATCTTTGAAGATGTCTGGTTAGACATGAATTTCTTTAGTTAGATAGTTGAATCTTTTTTTCTAATGGTTGTAGCTCTGTCTCATTTCTTATTTTTTGCTTTATTATTTTTTTTTAAATCTTAGTCATGCTGCAGTTTAGAGGAACATCTCCGGGGTCAACGGGGTCTCCAGCCATACCTCCTTGCTGTTGGGCGTCTGAAGAGCAAGATTGACAGCTTCTACATAGTCATGGATAAACACCTCATCCCATGCCAGGCAAACCGCTCTCTGGGAGCATTTGATGAGTTGTTCAAAGCACATTTTGTGTTCAATGTCTCTTATGATGTTGCATTATTGAGTTTTTATACGTTTCTGCAGACAACAGTGTATAACATTGATGTTGGCAAAATGAAGGAATCACCCAGAGTCAGAGACTTAAGAGCGAGGCTGCTTAACCAGCCCCTTGTGCTCTCCTGTGAGTAAGTCAAGGTAAAAATGTTGAGATGCTTTAAATGTCAGAACCTGTATCCAAGCAGCCAGCAGTTGATTTCACATTTAAGAGTTGAACATAGTTACTATCCTGGACCAAAGTTCAAATTGGTTTGTTCTCTGCAAGGCTGCAGGCATCAGTTTCTGACATATACAGGTTTTAGAAAGCATCTTAATAATGTTCACAGTAACATTCAGCACATTTCGCAGAGTTTAGCCATTCCAAGTTCATCCTCTTGTAATCCAGTTGTAACATATCAAGCTGATGCTTTGAATGAC